GGGGGGGGGGGGGGGGGGGGTGCCAGACAACTTTTTGCCGACAAAAGGGCGTGGCAAGCGCGTGGTTAGCGCGTGGTCTAAATTGAATTGAATTGAATTTATTACAAAATCTGAATGGCAGCTAAGAGCTGAATTGTACAGAGTTGACATTTAAAATACATGGTAAAACTAATACATATAGTAATATACGATATATTAAAACTAAAATTTATATTACAATTAAAATGAATCATAATTATATGATACGATACTAGAAGGAATAAAACTTTTACTAAATCTTGTAGTCTTACAATTAATTAAGTTAATATGCTGATCGTTACGTAGATTGTAAGTACGTAAGTCCTCGCGTTTATTAGGGATAAGTTCATTCAATTTATTTTCCGGGTTGAGAAGTTTCTTAAAATAGGATTTACATAAATTATTTCGTCTTTGAGAGAGCAATGATATTTCATGAACTTCCAAGGCTTTGCGGTATGACAGGTCAGGACATATTATTCGTAGGGCTCGCTTCTGAATTCTTTCGATTTCTTCCTTTAAATAGTCAGGGGAGTTTAAGTTCCAAACCTGGCATGCATATTCAAGCACAGGTCGTATACATGTGGTATAGACTTGAATTAGAGAATTCCCTCCAAGACCGCTGCGTTTAAGCACTCGCGTTTAAGAAAAAAAGTCTCTTTGATGCCTTGTGTACTATGTGTTCAACATGTAAGTTCCAACTAAGATCAGAAGAAAAGTACAGACCAAGAACCTTTGCTGATAAAACTGGGGACATACAGTGATCTTTAATAAACAATGGTCGAAGATTAGGGACGTCCTTAGCGAACGAGATAATTAGCTCTTTGCATTTAGAACGATTAAGCATCATATCATTTTCCGTGCACCATTAATCGATATTATTAATAACGGATTGCAGGTTACTTTGACAACCTTTACCGATTGTTTCGGAGAGACTAGTGTCGTCAACATATTTCCATCTATCTTTGTGGTTAATAGCCAAATCGTTGACCATGATGAGGAAGAGTAATGGGCCAAGGATTGTACCTTGCGGGACGCCTCCATTTACCAAGGACCAATCAGAGAACGAAGAACCCAATTTCACCCTCTGTCTTCTTGGCATCAGGAAATCAATAACCCAGTTTATTAAGGATTTATCAATATTTAGTAATTGCATCTTTTTTTATCAGGATTTTGTGGTTGATTCTGTCGAATGCTTTACTAAAGTCAATCAGAAAAACACGAACAGTCTCGCCATTGCCGTCTGTGTTAGAATACCAACAGTGGAACATGCTAATTAATGCGTCTATCGTAGAAGAGCCTTTTAACGATCCGAATTGCTTTCGGTCCAACTGAGACTTAATGGTATCCATAATCCATTGAAATGGAAATGATTCAAGAACCTTTGAGAGCGTAGCGGTCAGAGATATAGGTCGCAGGTCTGAAGATATATCCGTGACCGAGGATGTCTTAGGGACGGGAACGACATTTGCTTCTTTCCACTGCATTGGAACTTGTGCTTGTTTAATGGAGGCATTAAAAATCATTGTCACAGGTTCTGAAATCTCCATTGAAAAGTTATTGAGAATCCAATTTGGCAGAGAGTCTGGACCAGGAGCTTTATTCGATTTAACTGCTTTTAAACGCGATTCGACATCAACAATGGAGATAGGGTACAAAACGGTAGGTTCTTCCACAGATAATTTATCAGTAATTGAAAGCGGCGGTAACGATTTAGTGGCGGCTAAAAACCCGTTATTAACAGCGAGTGCTAAGTCTTGTCCCTGCAAGATAGTTCCATTCACCTCTGCAGAATGGAAGGCAGGCTTTAAAGAAAAACCAGCTAGGTTTTTAATAGCACTCCACCATTTCCTTGGCTTTGAATGTTTTAGATGATTCACTTGAGACTCGAAGTATTTAGACTTTGCCTGTTTCACGACGTGAATTACTTTATTTCGCAATTTGTTGTATTCAATTGTATTTCCCAGACGAACCATATTTCTTTTTTAAGTGATGTACAACAATGGGGTCACAATGAACTCCGAGTAGTAAGATAATTTATTTTTAAAATAGGCGAAATAGTTTCTTAAAATACATGATATAAATGTCAAAAAAGCACATCCATTTAATCTCTACATATATAGGCGAAAACGTTTATGGTAAGGATATCTTGACTCCTCGTCGTTTTAACGCTGCCCAAGCTGTAGCCATTTTAACAACGCTTATTTCATCCGTGATATCTTTTTCACAAGCCATTATTAATAGCTCCTCCAATCGTTCGTCATTCATTGTTGATCTGCAGAGTGTTTTAACAAGTTTTAGCTTGCTAAATGTTCTTTCATCCTCAGCTACTGTCACTGGTGCAGTAAGAGCTAGGAGGTAAGCCTTGTTGGTCAAAGAAAACACTGACTTCTGTTTTTCTGCTATTCTGGCCACATCTGAAATATCCTTAACGTTAGTATGGTAGTAATCGGTCAGGTGAGACCTGAATACCTCCATCTCGGACATCAGAGCTTCTGGGTCTGGTCTTTGGTCTCGTGGAAAATACTCCGTCAAGTCCTTGAACGATTTCAATGGCGCCACGTCTTTTCCAGGATGTAGGGTATCAATCAGGGGTCTTGTTGTTTATTTGGAATTGTTGTTGAGCTCTTTATAAGTGCTGATCTGAGTGTCCAACACTGCCTTGAAAAAAAGACTCCGAGTTAAGCGACACAGCAGTTGACGGATTCTAGTCGATTCTGCCAGGTGGTTTTCTGTGGCGCTCAGCAAATACAACTGCTGCTTGGATTTCTGCATTCATACTTTCATAGCATCAACGTCATTGTTCACGCTTTCCAAGCAATTACAAACTAAACACGTCAGTTTCTCTCTCTTCCGTTTGCGTTTTTGCTTGCTACTGCCCGTACTTTTAAATCATCTTTGTATTTCTCATTGTATAAAATGAAGCGTAGACGCACCTGGAACAATCTCCCTTTTATCGAACTGACTGCGAATATCAACGCTTTTGTAAAAGTACATTAACTAATTAATTTTAAATTTTAATGCATTAACTGCATTAAGAGCATCAGTATAATTTTGGCATGACACGTTTATTGTACATTTTTACCTTTTAGAGTTTTTCATATATATAGTTCACAGTTATTTTGTTAATGTATACCGTATTTACTCGATTGAGCGTCGCCCCCAATTGAGCGCCCCCTCCCCCCTCGAATAACTGCCGCGATAACATTTTTTTAAAGAGCGCCGCTACCGAATGAGCGCCACACTAAACAGTGTAAAAACTTTCCGCCGTCAAAATGGGGACATTTGTTTATTTTATTGTTAAAAGTTCTTGTTATAGTTAACAAATAAAGTTTTTTTAAAAAGCGCCGCCCCCGATTGAGCGCCGCATCTGAAGCTCTGAGTATCTCCTACTATAGCGTAAGCTGATTTAGGAATATCTGATTAAGGATTAAAGATAAACAGTAAACACGCACATGTTCTTCGAATTTCCTATGGTATCATATTTCACAAAATTGAAAGAAACTGATAATACTAATAGCCTATTAGCGTATTAAATAGCGTATAATACGAACGGCGGTCGGAGTTCTTGGCCAATTTGGCTGAAAAAAGGTTCGACCTTTCAGGCGACTTATCCATCTTTACGATCTCTCATTTTCTACAAATTACAACCTCTCTCCAATGAGGTATTCCCTATTGGCTTGATCCAATTCATTACTACGCCCCTGACTTAGACATGTCATTTTGAATGTTTATCAAAGATGTGATAAGCGCTTTATTAAACGAATCAACCCGATTAACTGGCCTAAGTTATTTAAGGAAATAATCAAATAAATTTAATCTTTCAACAAATTGCATTCACGGTCTTATTTAGGGGTAAACTAAAGAGTCGCAAGTGACTGATGAATACGCTAGACTGGAAAGTCGAAACATTGGGTTGTGAATGTATTTTATTAAAGGGTTCATACATTTAGTACACATGAACCAGAGAACGGTTCCATACTTCCATACAGATAATAACAATAGGCTATTATAACAAATATAACACATTTAGATACCTGCTAAAAGTAGTACTAGTATTCCCGTAAATTTGACCACCAAACGCTATAATATTTTTTTTCTGTTTGGCGTAAAGTCCTTCCGGCTTGATACTAAATTGACGCTCGAATTAAAGCTTGATATGCAAATATGAGACAAGCTTAGCCTCCTCCGCAGGCCTCTCTATGGGTTTTAGCCTGCGAATGGGTTTTGAAAAAAAAAATTCTCACCACCCGATTCCTCAGGTGAGATGCCTGCGGAGGAGGCTAAGACAAGCTACCCCCAGTGAATAAATTTCCGAAATCTGTATGTCCGCTATTTGGATAACTTCGGTTTAAACTTTTTAATCAAGGTACAACCTCGTACCCAGGCGCAAATAACGTACTAAAATAGCAACAATACAGTATTTTAAATAGATCAGTGGCTAAGATAGCGAGCGCGAGGGGGTGCTTGGGCAGGACTATATGAAAATACTGCAGTGTTACTATTTTTAGTACGTTATTTGCGCCTGGGTTCGAGGCTGATCAATGTATGTTTTCACCTCGGTTTGTTTGTGTGTGTTTTTGTGTGTTTGTCGGAAGATAAGCTAAGCCAATTAAGATGATACGATCAAATTTTGGTTGAACCTGGGTTAGTAAATGTACGAGATTATAGCTCTCTATGTCCTCTATATGAATGTTCTACAATTTGAGAAATTATTTGGGAATGAGTTATTTTCATTAAGTTGTGTTTGAACTTATATATTGAGAACGTAAGATTTTTCAGTTTAGTTGGCAGTTTATTCCAAGTTTTAACTGCATGGTAGCAAATTCATGATTCAAGTTAAAGATTGGTAGTTGTCCTCCACATCTCTGGTTTTGCTCAACTGCGTGTAAGTAGAGTCATCGTCATTTGCAACGTCATTGCTTGCAGCATTCACGCTCAACGATTGATAATTGTCTTCTGTGTTCATTTTTGAAAGATCAAGCTCTTGATAAGTTGTATCAACTTCAGTTGTTTTTGGTTCAGAGTTTCGTTCAGGTTTTCTGTTGTTAAACCAACGACGACGAGAACACGAGGCAATGTAGGAAAAGAGAATGCCAAGAATAAATCCAGACACCAACGTCACAACGATATGCCATACTACAACAGTCGTCCCATTATCAGTGTTGTCATATGTATTGCCTGAACAGAAATATTTAAACTGAAAAAAATTAAAAGAACGCCATGCATAAACGTTTTGCTAAGAGCATATAGAAATCGATTTGTTTATAATGGTCGTCTCTAATGACAAAACACGTTGTTCATGTTTCTTACAGCTTCAGTAAATAAGTTTAAATTATCTAGTTGCATGGGAGGTTCGTACTGGAAATATATTTTGCTGTGGTCTCAGAAGTCTAGGGATGTATCCGAGCTCGAGATACGATTGGACATATAATTTATACACAAAATTGTTATTTGGAAGCCCTGAGTGCGAGATTGTGTGGGAGGTGGAATGAAATATTGGGGAGATGCAGGAGTCTACCCCATCGCCCCCTGAAGTTGACTACGTGACGTGTGCATGTCACATACACAACTGCCGCCCCGAGTGATGGGGAGAGGGCAAAGGTGGCAATTTTTCCCAGATTAAAGGGTTCCACGAGATTGACCTCTCCTGCATTTACACCTAAATCTGTCCTTGCCGTTTTCCCAACATTTATATTCTTTAGAATGCTGTGCAAGCCTAGCTTATATACTCGGTATAACACTGGCTCAATTTACCATGCAGTATATACCTAAAATTCCAGGCTGTCTTCCGGAATACTTAATCTTGCGGAGTAAATGTAGGATACTTTATACCCGTATTTTAAGCTATTTTGGCGGTAGAGTAGAATGGTCTGCCTGACTCTGGGTATGAGATTGCTTCCGAAATTTAATTTTCCTTTAAGCGGAAGCATTACTTAGTTTATTTCCGCATTCTATAAAATATTACTGTACTTAAGGTATTTAATTACTATTATATTTTTTATATGGTTTAATACAATAGTATTCACCACAGAATGGAGATTATACATAGGCGTACGAGGCGGGGGGGGGGGAGGGGGGACAGCTAATTGAAATATCGATATGTTGGGCAAATTGTGAACTAAGTCGGGCAAATGTTGAACGTAAGTTGGAAAAAAGTGGGGAAAATAAACTGAAAAACAAGAAATATGTAAGACAATAGTAAAAATTAAAGAAAATAGGGCAATGTGGCAAACATTTTTAGCTTTTTGAATGTTTCCGAAGTTTAGCAGGGAATTTGATTGGTCGGACAAAATGCAAAAGTCGGGCAAATTTCGTTCTGCCCCCCTAATTTTTCCGCTCCCGTACGCCGATAAGATTATAGTCTTTATTCTGTAGCAATGACGATATTGTGCACCATAATAAGAGAATTTCTGTTCACGAACTATGCTTTAACAATGACCCATCTTCCTTTATTTGACATTAAAGATATAGTGTACTTAAATAATAAGAAAGGTTCGGATTTGACTTCCACTATCGCACCGCTACCATTAAGAGATCGTTAACCAGATGCATATGATATATCCAATTAACCAGTCAGATGCGCACTAAGCCAGTGAGAGGTAGAAGTAGCGGTCACTATAGTAGTGGAAGTCAAATCTGAACCTCTCTAATACTAATTTGTATAGGTAATCACACGGGAAAGAGTGCATTTAATGATAACACTACGAGTGATTTTTGAAAAATGAGCCAAAATTGCACAAGCCACGAAAGCGAGTAAAATCACAAAAAAATTGCGTTTGAAAATCTAATCTTACCTTCAAAGGTTAAATAAGCGAAAGCTGAATCCCTTCCAAGTTTATTCTTCGCAATGCATTTATATGTTCCAGCATTACTCCACTTCACTTTAGGTATGGTATACATCCTGCCAGCGCGAAGCCTGGTACCGTTATGGGTTATGTTATAACTTGGTTCTGGACGACCTTCAGAGCTACACGTTATGGTAACTGGGCTATCAAGTACACCTTCTTGTGTAATCGTAATCTTTGTATTTTCAGGTTTGACTGTGAAAAATAAAACCTTTTCGTACTAATGAAAATAGGCAAATATTTTTTGTAATATATTAATTATCTGTAAAAATACATATAACGCTCAAGGTATATTTATCAGCCGCATGGGAGTTTTGTACTGAAAATAATATATTTTGTTGTGGTCTCAGCAGCCTATAGGGATCATCTAGTACAGAAACGCTTCATCCAGTACAGGAAAGTGATGAAAGTCATAAATTTTGCAATTGCATACTATATATGCAGTTACAGCCGGTAAAGACTACAAACTATCGCGTTGTGAACAAAACGTTAGACAGATGCCGGCAGACCATAGGCATAGCGACTGTCTTTTCGTGGCGTTCCATGTAAGCATTGCTTAAGTTTGCTAATATTTTTCAAGCACGAACCAATCTAACAACGTGGTCATGCATGAATATGAAAAATTACAGGCACATAAAGAAAACATATACTAATCAGATACTAATCCGTAAAAAGGTTCAAGATTATGGTATATAGCTACAGAGCTACAAACCTGGGTTGCATGGCTTTAGAATTTTCTTGCCCGCAACCAAATTCTGCCTGCATACCAACAAAACTCGGGTTTTGGCGTTATTCGGTAAATACCTTCGACAAGGTGAGTCAGATTCGTGTTGACTTGTTTTGCCAATCAAAAACACAAGTTAAAAGTAATTTGGTTTTGACTCAGTCGGCGCTATATTCTAGACTATAGTCATAAAACAGATGCAAAACGATAGTTGCGATTCTTGAAAGTTGAAAACATAATTTTAATCCACAACCTCGGGTTAACTTGGCGAAAACATTTATGTTGTTGACATTAAATATTAATGAAAAATATATATAAACAATTGGCTCTGCAAATTTCACTGCATTTTAAAATATCTTTTAAACAAAATAGCGGTTGAGGAAAAGGTATAAACGTTTCAATTTCTGCACAGTTTAAATGTTTAATTTTGAATCTTAAGTAGCATGAGCATTTAAAACAATATGACATTTTCTGAATTTTGGCATCTAACAGAACACAATGTGAGCTTAAAATAAATTAATTGTACATTCAGTATATACTACTGGTTTTTCCTTTCCGTGGTTCCTCACACGTATGTTGTCGCCTGGTGATAGAATGCATGCAGGACAAAGAAAATGTGTCTAAAAATTCTAATCTTACCTTCAACGGTTAAATAAGCGGAAGCTGAATCATTTCCTAGTTTATTCCATGCAATGCATTCATATGTTCCAGCATCACTCAAATTCGCTTTAGATATGGTATGGGTCTTCCCAGTACTGAGCACGATACGATTATGAGTTATGTTATATCTTGGTTCAGGACGACCTTCAGAGTAACACGTTATGTTAACTGATGTACCAACTTTAACTTCTTCTGGTGTAAACGTAATCTTTGTGTTGTTAGGTTTGACTGTGAGAAAACAAAACCTCTTGTTACAAATAAAAATAGGCACATAATTCTTGTGTGTAATAATAAACAATTATTGAATCAGGTTGAGTATGATATCGAGAATTATCAAGGCCGAGGTTTGTGTTATCTGCCTAGGCCGAAGGTTGAGGTGGATAACACAAACCGAGGCCTTGATAATTCTCTGTATCATACGAAAACCGAATTCAATAATTGTTTTATTATATATTCAAAAGCTAGAATGAAAGCAAAGCCATTTTATTTACGCTTTTAAAAATATGAAAATTTCGCGCGCTTTTTAGCAAACAATGACGCTGATGGCGTCAGCAGCTGAAATAACGCGACGGCTTCTATCCGAGGCGCTTTGACCAATCATGCATGAACGAGAATAGACTTTGAATATATAACAACATAAATTATTACTAAAAATACATGCACTCAAGTAACTCGACTTGACTCAAGGTTGAGTGCATGTATACATAAGACATTTTCTGAATGTTGGCATCTCACAGAACACAGTGTCAATGTCGAAGGTTTATTGCAGATGACCTCGCCAAGATTCGAGAGCAAAAATTTGTGGCTGGCTCGCACAGAGCTGAAAAGGAATTACATGCAAGACCACAATTAAGTTAATTTCAGACCGAGCTAGGGCCTATAAGCGTTTTTACAACTATACTTCCAGTTAGATCCTAAATAAGTATAATATTTACTTTCAACATGTCATTTCAATTTTTCATCTGAATCTTTAGCTATATATTTATCTGAAATATAGAAAAAAGTCGGTTAAAAAAAGGGTCACACTGCATGTATGAGGACCTTTTTGCGCGCGAATACTAAATGGATGACCCATGCAGCTAGTGTGTTTATTCAAGGTTACTGGCAGTAGTCTTGAAAACTATACCGTATAATGCTTGACTTCAGAGCATATCATACTTACAATTAAGTCTTGCTTTTACTTCAATTGTTTTTTCATCCGTTAGATTGTAGCGCCGAGCCACACATTTATATGTTCCAATGTCGTCTTTAGTCACACTAGTGCGAGTTAAACTATTTTCTCCATAACTTGCGTTACCAGTCTGTTCGCCATCTTTGTACCAAGTAAGAATGGCTGGAGGGTTTCCACCTCCACCTCTACATACACATGTAAAGGCATCACTTTCATTTACTGTGATAGGACTGGGACAATTGATGGTCACATTTGGTTTCTCTGAAATGTGATGAAATCACGTTATTTTGTATAGGTTTAGAGTCACGCTCAATATTGACTGTCGCGAAAAGAAAAGAATGAACGAGGGTAGATTCTTGACAGAGAAGCGTCTTGTTTATAATAACAAACGAAGGTTTTTATAATAAAACTCATATAATTATAGCAACAGTTAAACCACAATAGGTATAGCTTCAAGAAATTGTGTATTATCATGCAGCATTGAATAAAGTTCTTGTGCTCATGGAAATAAAGTGAAAAACTGCAGTTGAATAATTCTGTAAATTTTAAAACAGTTTTTCAGTACGAAAAGATCTTTAAAAACACACAAACTCGTGCATGTAAGTACTTATAACACAAAATGTTCTTTCACGTACAAGAATATACATGAAAAATATTCTGACTGGCTAAGAGAAGTTCAATTTTATTGAAATACAGTGCCAAGAAATAAATTCTGTCCCAAATACTACCTATACACGTGACATTTTGGATAAAGTCAAGACTCATCCTGGTGACCCCGCCCACAACGCCTTTCTTACATTAGTTTGAGTTTGCGCATCTCTACATACGTTTTAGTAATTGCGGAGATACTGTAGTCTAATCTGTACAATAATTATGTAAGCTCACTTTTCAACGCACACTTGCGAACATGCCAAATAAATTTCAAAGTTCGGAAGTTAAGGTCTAGACACACCGGACGCGATTCGACAACGCGACGCGATTTTTTGATTTTCGCTGACCGATAACTTTGATCCTAGTTTAAATTTTCCAAGTATTTAGAAGGGCTGCAACATTTTCAGTTATTTTGTCTACATATCTTTTAAAATTTGCTCTCATTGGCCGTTTTATTAACTTTCAAAAACTAAAAAATCACGTCGCGTTGTCAAATCACGTCCGGTGTGTCTGGACCTTTAAGAGTGAAGTTCGCAACGAAGATCGTTATGCTATAGTTCCCAAGGCTAAATTTGTCAAATTCTTCGCTTGACAACTTTTTCCATACTATAAAGTTTAAATTCCCTCTAAATTTTTGTTTTGGTTTATTTAAAAAGGTAATTCCTTCTTACTAGGAAACCGCTGGACCTTTGAATTGTTATTAATACTGCAGTACTTTCGAGTTTGTTTACAATCGAAATTCAAACATCGAGATGAACTTGCGAACTTCGTTGTGATGACAAACTTGGACAGTTATTTGGCAAGTTTGCAAAGAACGTGGTAACTGTCAGTTAAAAAGTGAGCTGAAATCGACTTAATAGTGTTACGGTATCTCTGCAAATACAGTAATAAAACATTGTCTTTTGAGTAACGACAACTCTTCAAATTCTTTCATGTTGGTGGGTGGAATTGCATACGTTTGTGGGCGTTTCGCGGTGCAATTTTTCGTTTAGTAAACCGCCAGGGTCACCAGTGACAATCAGTGCCACCGCTTTCATTGCACGTCACATCCGGTGAATATTAAATGGTACTTACAACGCCAAACGTGCGTTTTATAATTAAACTCACGTAGTTGTGATGGCATCTGTATTAATTTTGTATCGAGAAACGCTTGCTTCGTTTCTTTTAATTTTAGCTTTCGTCTTCAAATTAACATTGTTAACATGTCGAAATTCTGAAATCCATTCATCTAAACGTTTGACTGATAGGTTACGTGTAGTGGCACGTAACTTAAAATTATGTTTGTCTGACGCGCAGAAATTTTTATCCGATAGAGTTGGGCGATACTATCGCGAAAGTTTTACTCATGATTATCGATTCGTATCGAAGGTAAAAACGTGAGCGAAGATATAGTGTAATATGGTTATGATCCATGACTATGGTGATATTGTTTCGTATGTGTACATAGCTTTTTAAGCTTTTTTAGATTTCTCGACGATAATCATGTAAGATTTTCAAGTATCGCCTAACTCACGTGAAAAACCAATACAAGCCAACAATTTCAAAAACAAAGCACAATCCGAAGATTAGCATCTTGAAACTCAATTAAGATACGAATCAAAACAAGACGAGAATGAGTTTGTGATATTCCAATTTTATTTAAAGATCATCAGACTAACTAGACGTCATGTTATTTGTAACACGTTGGGACGCATCTCATTTTATATTCCCCGGATGGGGAAGCATCTCATTTCATATTCCCCGACCACGTGACAAAAAATAAACCAATCAGATGGACGTGGTCAAAACAAAGTGTAAACAAAAATGTAAATAACATTACCGAATATATTTCTATTTTTCAGCTTGTTTATTTCCTTAAATTGTCGGCTGGTTTTGGTTTTCACCAAACAAATTTCTGTGTCTAATACTGCTCACCCCCATGTTATACCATACTACCAGTTTTTTCTTTCCCCATTGTAGAAACTTCATTTAGTATATTTATAAGTTACGTTTTTGCCATTGGTCAGTTTGATCACATCATCAGATCACGTGCATGGTCAGACAACATGGTGAAAATTTATTCATTATTCATTATGGGGTTTGAATAGCACGGTAGTTATGTAACATTCAGCTAATAAAATTATATAAAAAGTTGGACTAGTCTAGCTTTTCAACCCATTCCTCCCTTCGTGAAAAAATGTGCCTAAAATCTAATCTTACCTATGACGGTTAAATTAGCGGAAGCTGAATCTTTTCCACGTTTATTCATTGCGATGCATGTATATATTCCAGCGTGTCTGTACTGCACATCATCTATGGTATACGTCTTGTTAGTACTGACCTCGGTACCATTATGGATTATGCTATAACTTGGTTCAGGAAGACCTTCAGAGTTACACGTTATGGTAACCGATCCATTAACTACAGCTATTTCTGGTGTAAATGTAATGTTTGTGTTGTCAGGTTTAACTGTGAAAAACAAAACAACCTCTTTGTTAGTGATGAAAACAGTCAAATAGTTACTTTTTTGTGAATAATATTGATTATTAGTATGAACATGTACACTCATAGATATACCAGCTGGGAGGTTCATACTTGAAATATATTTTGTTGCGGACCCGGAAGTCTATAGGGATGCTCCCGAGAAAAATATTAACAAACGCTTCATCTAGTACAAGGACGTGATGAGACAAACTACGGTAAAACAATTCGGCATTATACGCCGTTTTTCCATTGACGTTCAGCTAGCAATTAATTCTCCAATTTATACATCTGCCAAAAATAAGAAGTATTATCAAATAAAATTAACAATATGAGATTGTTGAACTTCACAACTTTGTTCAAGCTAGAAAAATTGGGAAACCAGATCAGTGTTGCAAAGATGCCATATTTGTCTGTTTTTACCATAGCAGGCCGAAAATACGTGTAGAATGCACTAAATGTCAATCTTTACATTTATAGCTAAAATTGACATTTGGTGCATTCTACACTCTAGACGTACTTTTGGGCCGCCTATGCTTTTTATTCGCACTTCAAAGGTTTTAATTTAGCTCAGCCAATCACGGACTTTCCGTTGCGTCCCCGAACAATAGATTAACTATTGCTAATATTTCCTAAACAGTAAATAACGTGACTGACGTCAAGTTTTAAAAAACATGGCCATGGATACGAAAATTTACAAGCACATACAAAAACATATTAATCAAACATTTGTATACGAAAAGTATACACTTTTCTCAAGATTACGGTAGCTATAAAACCAACGAAACTGGAAAGCTTTGTCAAAGGAATTAAGATCCTTAATTAATTAAGAAATCGTACTTTTGGAAAGCGTATACTAAACGACAAGCCGCGAAATTCGTACAAGTGTTACAAAATTTCGTCGTACGAAATTGTTGGTTTCTCCCGGTTTATTCTTCAATCAAGCATAGATCTCCGTAAGACAGAGTGACAGACAACTAAGGATGCCCAGTGGAATTATTTTTTGGAGACAGAGATCTTGTACTGCAAAATTGTGGCCAAACTTTTGCAACAGCTACATGGCTGACATCAACAGAACGCGCGATGGCCGAGTACGAGCCATTAAATTGATCATTCAAAGTGTTTCCTTCTTTGCTTATTATTTCATCAATAATTAAGGATCTCAATTCCTTTGACAAAGCTTTCCCATTCATAAAACTTCTTCCTGTACTGCTGACTACATGATCTATATATAAACATGCAAAAGTCTCGACCAGAGGTTCTCGACCGTTGCTTGTTTATATTAAAATAGGCGCCTTTTTGCACTTAGCAACATTAGCGAAGGCCCTTAGCAACTTGTTCGTTTTAACGGAAAAATAATCACAGAAAACAGAAGGAACATAGTACGTAGCTACAAAGGCTGACTTGAGTGTCAGTAATACTTACAATTAAGTCTTATTTCTACTTCGATTGATTTATAATCCGCTAGAGTGTGGCTTTGGGCTCTGCACGTGTAACTTCCACGATCTGTTGCACTAACATTACTTAGAGGTAATGTTTGTCCTTCTTTCCCTGTTACACCAATCTGAACGCCATTTTTATCATACCAAGTTACATTGGCTGGAGGGTTTCCATCTTCACCTCTACATACACATGTGGAGTTATCACCTTCATTTATTGTGTAAGGATTGGAACAACTGAATGTTACATTTGGTTTCACTACAATATAAATTATTTTATGGTTAGAATAAAGCCCAAATTAACACTTGACAAAAAATATAAGAATGAAGGAAGAATAAAGTTTATTTTATTGTATTACACTTTGTCTAGAACACATTCAACATACGAATACGTTTTTACAAATAACTTAATACAGACATAGTGAGACTGACAAAAAAACAATTAATACAGGCACAAACACAGACACAAGAAGAGCAACCACAACACTAATATCAATGCACTAATAGGTTTTGCAGTAAACATTTTAACGTCAATTTTTTCCATGTACTTGACAGTACTTTGAAGGATTTTTAATTAAAACAAATGTATATATTTGAACAGCATCACACTTGAATAAGGTCTATTGCGAACTTTATTCATTCATATCTGTTGTAGCCACAGTTTTATGTAGCCGGTGTAGCACTTCCGCTTGTTACAACGTTGTCGTGTGACAGACCACTTTTAGTTGGGCAAAATGGTCAAATGGCAGCTACTGTACAATATAAATATTAATGGCGAGTATGCGGTCGCTGTCGACAAAATTTTACCCTTTGCATGAAATTCATTATGAAACGCAACCATACAGCAACAATATACAATAAATTGCTTTTCATTTCATCCCAGGACATTAAATTGCTTTTCATTTCATCCCAGGACATCCCAGGAACCGGTTTAAGGAATTTTAATATGACGTCCAAATAAGTAAATGGTAAACTATAATGATGTCAACAATAAATATTGTGCAAAACATTCCGCTGGAATTCGGGATATCATTAAATTTTATCTTTGCAACAAAATTACGTGAAGTGTATTGTTTATATTGTTCACAAACACTGTTGTTGAGGCTGTGGCCGATGATCATAAACAGGACTGTTGCGTTTTTGAAGCTACAAAACTGCATCCCGTGCAGCATAAAGCCTAGGCCTTTAATTTCAGCGCTTTTTTAAACGGGAAGACTGGGACCCAGGCGATGTGGGGGCCCCGCTTACCAAATACTAGCCCAAAAATTGACCAAATCTGTCAAAGCCAGCCGAGTAAAGGACTGGTCTAGGCTGCATTCCAGGCATTCTCCGAAAGAGCCAATCTCGTTCTGGGATAATCCGTTTCAGGGAGGAATTTGATTGGCCGCTGAAATGGAATGCGTAGTTCAATCTTAGCCAGGATTCCTGGCTTCCGGCAACGGATTATCCCAGAGCCTCGCGTTCCTTCCCAAGGATCGCAGGCTCGGGGAACGAGATTGCGAAAGAGCTCGTTCACTCAGTATGTATACAACTGAGATGGAGGGGGGGCATGAAATTTGTTGCTGTTTTTACGTATGCATATTGTATAATTACTCTTGTGTACAAGGAGGGGGTGGGGTACCAAAATTTCTGTAAACGTACTTAATGGTTGCACTAAACAAATTTCTATTCAATGTTCTACACAGCCACATGTACATCAAGGTTTGTTTAAAATAAATTAAAATATTTCATTTTTCAATACAACTATATTTTTTTATGTTAAACGTTTATTTCACTTCACTTGAATTTCTTGCTGTAAGGGTTGTTTCATTCCCCAAAACACCAGAAATATGCAAAAGTAAAGAAACAATCCTCTAATCATCTGTGAATGAAGAATAAACTACACATGCAGTCAACCAAGTTATTTTGGTTGCACCCACGCACTTCAAAACCTTCCAAACCTAATGGTTCAGGTTTTACCTAACAATCCCAAAGCTTGAAAAACAATATTCTACAATCCGGTGTCACAGGAGGGGGGGGGGGGGGGGGGA